AAAAAAAAAAAAAAAACTAAGTTGAACTGTATATCCTGTGCGTGTGTAGGCATTGAAGCCTTAAAGAGAAGTCAAGTGAGGGACATCCTAACGCAATTTACGTTCGCACGCTTCACGTGTGCTATTGTTCAATTAACAGTTATTTTTAAAAGATAGCTGAGCTGCGGCTTGAAAATAACCATGACTAGAAAAAGAAGTCTATCTTATTTTTGATGTTTATTTACTGTGTTGATTAAGAGCTGACTATAGTTAGACAATTAAAACTATACGTTCACCTGGCTGATCATGCTCAACCTACTTATGAAATAACTCCTGGGCTCAAACCTAACTTTCACAACCTTTTTTTGTTCAGTGGTTTACGCCTAAACGAAAAACAAAGCACCAGTAACGGCACTCGACATTTGAATATGTCAAACTTCTTTATGGGTTACCATGGAAATCAACGCACATCACTGAACGCAACATCGAATTCAGCACAAAATCATTAATTTAGAAAGGAAGATTGGTTTAGGGGTACAGTGCGCTGCTTTTAAACTCGGGGAAACGGTACTTAAATGCTTCTCTGAACAACAGCAGGATTATCGGTAGCCTCGAGGTTTATCGGACTGATGCCACTCTTTCTTTAGCTTCTTATCTCTCTCTTGCCGTTTACGCTTCATTTGCTTAGAAAAAAAATTAAAATAAAATAAAATAATAATAATGGGAAGTATCTCTTTAAAGCGAGTGGTGAAATTTTTGCTTTTTTCGTATGTTCTCCCTTTTAGCTACCTGATGAGAATAAAATACGATATTCCACTCTCTTGCTTTTGAAACCGCCAAACAATCGTCTGTGTCTCTTTACAAAACCAGTCTCATTAGAACTATTAACTTTTCTAGTGGTACGTAATCGAACAGAGTTATGTATCTACATCCTCATAAATTAAAAGCAATGAGGATGAGCAAGGCCTTTTCTAATCCACGGTGCGCAAATTAATAACTGTTTCACAATGCAGTACTTACAGAGATTTGTGCTCTATAATTTCCGCGTGAGATATATTTTAGACGACAGTAGGGAGGCATCAATTTTTTTTTTTAATTAAAGAAATAAACGGCTGTCTTTTGCCGATGGAGAAGGTAAAAACTCCAGAGTTGTGACCCCCTACAGGGCAATTTATTTTCTACCGCTAAAAGTAAAATTTCTGTAGCCACTTATATGGCCAAACGGTTTCTTGCGACATCAATTAAAAGTTAATCAGTCTGTTTTCATTAAATTCACTTAAATTTTAGAGAGATGAATAAAGAAATCCTTCTGTGTGCAATTTCATTTCTAGTTTTTCTAACAAAACTGACTCCTTGTGCGACCGACTATGGCAAACATTCGAGGCTTGCGGACGTTTTATATTGAAATTGTAATCTCTTTCTTAATGTTCCACGAAATCAAATTCAGCCTCTCGAATCATCAGCTTCCCAACGCTTCTCTTGCAAATAAAGGAAGCGTTTTGAATGAATTAGTCTTTAGTTTGGTTGAGTGAATATTATTTGGTTTTATCCTTGGTCACTCTACATCTGAAGCCGACGTTGTAAGTGCCTTAAAGGTAAATAACTCACTCTTTTACATGACCAAAACTAGAAAATAAAAATTCAATCGACTTTTTATACAACATGGTGTTTGTGATGAAATTAAAGAACGTAAAAACCTGCAGTGGCGCTCGATGACTTCCTCCGGATGGGCTAGTCTGTCACGTAGGTGGGATAATACGTAATTAATTGTCTAGTAATGATGCCAGCAATATATACTATACATTGTACGCTTAACTACACTTTGGTAATGAAACAACCCTTAACGCGCGCTTCTTAAGGTGAGTGCTTTAACTTGTCCATAAGATTAAGTCTAAAAAGGATACTCTTCAATTTAGCTCAGTTTGCCTTTTAATTAGGGCCATAGATAACTATGGCATAATCTTCAAAGGAAACAAACTACCGCTTACACGTTGTCAATCGCTTGTACTCAAAAACGTTAAGTTACATACATGTATTCATAATATCAATACGTTTAACCATATCAACAGGTGGTGCCTTTGTGCCATCATCGATCGAGACCGCCTGCAATCCATGCTTTTGATAAATTGAGTTACTTTTTTATTTCTTTAGGGAGCTATAAATTTTATCCTACCGTGTGCATTTCTTTTAATCTCTATCGATATCTACGACTCCCACCATCATTCTGTCTTCCATATCAAAAAGGTCGCAGCTCAGTGTTAAAAACGTTCTCGTGTACTTTTTATTTTCAGATTTCAAATATGAAGATACCCAAACTCTGCTGTCGACGGTCCGCAGAATCGAATTCAGAATCTCGAACGCCGGTTTTCCAAAGATTTTCCTGTGGAATAGGAGGCATACTGAGTGAAATAACAAGTCAAACTCTCTCATTTCGTTTGGTTTTCTTCATGAACGTTCTCGGTCTTTCTGCAACAAACGCCGGGTGGTTAGTGGTTTACGGAAAGATCTCTCAAGCTTTGGCGCAACCTCTCTGTGCGTTCTTGGGAAACCGAATCAAGATTCCATTTTTGTCTCGGAAGCTCGGAAGAAAAAAGTCTTGGCATTTCATCGGAACGACAATGATAACGATCTTCTTACCACTCTACTTTGCTCCTTGTTTTCCTTGTCAGAGTGATGGTGGACAGTGGCAGCTGATGATTTACATTCTTGCCCTAAGCACAGTTGTCTCAACTGGCTTCGGCTTAGTAGAACTCGGGCACCTGTCAATCATTCCAGTAATTTCAAAGAATCAAGCAGAGGCCATTGAACTGAACGCATGGAGGTTTGTATATTCCGATTTGCCAGCTTAACAAGCATTTAGCAAAATTATGCTTATGCATTTTGCTGTAGTTGTAGTTATGCACTTATTATGCTATGCACTACATTTAAATGTTTTGATTTTGATTAGCTGGGTACACTGCTACCTCCGTAATCCATCCGGGGGTGGGGGAAAGGTTCTCCTCAAGATCCAACCCCTTACCCTAGATATACCATTTTTGCCAGAAAAGGTACCCCTTCGGTTTACCTTCCAATGATGCCATTTCACATAAATATTAACAGTAAACCTTCTAATTTAATATCGGTTGCAAATTTCTTGGTCAAAGCTTGCCCTTTTAAATAAAGCAATATATTTTCCTATCCTGGATATACATCAACTAGCGAAACCCAGGATCAATTTAAGTTTCTAAGAAAGTGCCCACCGACCCATCCCCTAACACAACATTTTGCCCTAAGTGAGAAGTAAGTGTTAATGTTGACTTAAGGGAGGAGTAGGTGGGCAGTTTCTCAGGAGCCTAAATTGATCCGAAACCCCTACCCCTGGCCATAAAATGCCTGAAGTCTGAATGAGGAACCCCTCTAGGGCGTAGCCTCCCCATTAAGTCACCGTAGCAAATATCGCTCCCGGGCCTCTACAGATAATAATTTCATAAATATTACAGAAGTAATGACATTTTGGGGGGCAATGCTTTTTGCACATGCAAAAGTGGCGTAACTTGGCTGCTGATGATACTTTTCGTCAGAAGCTACTCAACAAGCCCACAGAAAGTCAAAACAATAATTATAAAAATATGCTTTACAGGATTTGAAGTTTTGAGGGATAACTCATAATTATTCCATTTATTCTAAGGCAAACTTTTCAGTTCTCGGGTGGTGCCCTTACGTACCTTGTGGCTTGGGCAGTTTTGGGACAAGACAATGCTAATCAACAAATTTCACCAGAAAGCTCTATGGACTTTACGGTAAAGTGCACATCACTTTTGTTGAACTCCTGACCGCAGGCGCAAACAAATAATTTCGTTTTTTGTTCTTCGTCTGCTTCTTTTCCAGGTTTTGGCAATAATTATGGTAGGAATAGGTTTTACTATCACAACGATTATTTTTCACGGTGGAACCAAAGAGCCCTCTGAAAAAGTTGTCAACAGTCTGCCAATCACTGATAAGACCGTCACGGATGACCATGCTACGGTAATTTTCACATTGTTTTTGTTTTATCATGAAAGCCAATCCACTATTCCTGTTTGCATCTGGTGTCTAAACAAAAAAAAAATACATGGAAGGTGCAGACATGTGAATCATTTAATTTCCCCCCAAGCGGTTCAAGAAAAATTCCTTATCTTCAATGCATTATATTTTGTCTCTTAATATACACCTTGATACTAGCAAGAAGAAGTAGGCGTTATTGACGATTAAAACAGATTCAGGACTTAACGAACGAATAAACGAATGACGACGGAACTCAATTTCAAGGCACTGATGAAAAATACAAGATAGACGAACAAATTTCCTCCTGGCCAGAACTTGCTTGGTTCGTGAATACTACATACCGACTTACGATGTGTTTCCCTTTCTTACATTTTTCTCTAGGTTAAGCACACTACACTGATTAAACACAACTCTACACACAAAATATATTAACTAAGTCTAAATGGCTGAAATTTGCCCGCAGTTATTAGATGTTAATATGCTTGAATTAAGCCCATTTCACAAATTAGAATTCGGAAACAATAGGCATATGAGACCTATCCGAACATGTGTCTTCAAATCTATTTTAAGCCAACACCTGTTACTTAAACAAATAATTGTATTCTTTTCTTTTCAATTACTTCTTCTTTAGAAAAAGTCATCTTTTACTCCACCATTCTCCAGTCTACAGTCGATGACCATGGCAACAGGTACACTTAAAAAAAAAACACAACAGAACTAGCAATTAATGTCTTCCTCGAGAACGTACGGGTTATTCGTTGAAATGCGCTGCGAAGGGTTTTGGCTATACCCGTGAATTAATTTCCAAAATGCAATTGTTCAAATACTTTAATTTCTTTTAAAAAACATTATAAAAACAAAAAAGTTAGTGCAACTATTGCTGTTTTTTTGTTTGTTTGTTTTTTTCCCTCTCTCTCTCTCACTCTTCCCCCGTTTCTCCTCACTCTTCCTTTTCTTCTTTCCTTTTCCTTCGCTACAGACTAAGCGGCTTATCGAAAGTACCAAAACTGCCTTTTGGCTGCAAATTTCGCTAGGTAATCATTTCCAAAAATCTGCGGGCTATAGGTTTGCAGATCACAAAATGAAATTTAAGTTGTCGAAATGCTAAGAGTTCAATTTTCTCTCATGCGCCATATTAAACTTTAATTCTCAAGACTTTTGCTCAGTTTGTCCCAAAGTTATTCATTTACTAAATTAAATATACTGTAAAAGCTACCTAAGTATTTAAGTTACTTAACAATAACGGAATTAACTGCGATTGGCGTTGCCCAATAATCTATAATAGTGCTATGCTCAAAGTAAATCATCGTTGTTTCGTTTAATTCCTTAACGTCAATTTTGTCATTTTTTCGTGCTAAGATTGGTGCTGCGTTGCCATTTAAAACTTAGAAATTTTATTTATATACTTTAGACCTGCTATTTACCAAGGAAAGAATGCGCGATTGGTTCATTGACAGTTTGAAGACGAAGGGGGAACCAGAGGTGCAGATAGAAGATCATACCAGGAAGAAAAGTTTTGCAAGGCACTTTATTAACGCCATGTTTGGGGTGAATGAGAAGGAGAAGAATGAAGCTAATGAAGAACTACCTCTTGGTGAAGATACAGTTAGAGAAGCTATTCCCAATGCCTCCGTTGCTCATGTTTCAATTTCATCTTCATCAAAAACTCAGATTGATGATTCGACAATGTTGCAGAATGTCAAGGAAATGCCCCAAGAGCGTAAAATAAGCGTTCTTAAGAGTATATTTTATGAATTGGTGGGGTTAAAAGAGCACTTGCCGACTTGCAATGAAGAGGAAACGAAAGCTCCTACAGGAACGAGCAACTCTAACGGTACTAGCTGTACAGAGATACCAAACGATTATACCGAAGTAATTGATGAGTCTTTTGGAACTGACAACGAAGGCTATGAATGTGGTAGAATTGTGGCGAGATCGTTTCACCTAGACCAGATCAAAAAAACCAGCCGAGGGGAAGAGACTTTTACCAACCCACTGGCAACAAATCATGGCCTTCCATCTGAAGCCATAAAGAATAACGAGTCGCCTTCATTTGTCCCTGCTGAATCCGAATCTGCTGTTTCCGTCTCAGCTGCACCCAAGACAGTGCGAGCATGGCTTAAAGATCCACGTCTTTACTTGGTGGGTCTTTTTTTTTTTCTTCTGTTAATATCATTAAAATTGTATTAACATTAGCACCACACTACAACGACTCCTGTTTTGTTTACATAGGTGGCCACGATATTTTCCAGTGCAAAAGTTTTGCAGGACTTTTGCTTCAACTATCTGCCACTGTTTCTTGTACACAGAGTTCAGTTTCAAAAGGTAAATAGATTTATCAGTTTATTGCATTTGTCACAAAAAAATAATGAACCTTTTTAGTAATAAAACTATAAGTAAAAAAAAAGAATATTGACAGAAATGGTTCAGTGAGTGAAATGGGAGTAAGGATTGCCGAACAATTCTTTTTTTTTTTGAGTCATTAACCTTTTTAACATCAAAATTAGTTAAACACTGTATTCTCTTGCTGATCCATTAACGTTTTCTTGTTGTTTTTTTTTAGGGAGCCATTGCCTATCTTCCACTTATAATGTTGATCAGTGGAGCAACATCTTCAGTCATTTCTAAGAAAATTATCGTCAAAATGGGAAGCAAGGTAACAAATGTGTCCAGGAAACATCAACTGCGGATCATGAACATTTTCGACGATGAGCGTATGAATGGTTAATTCCCCCAGGGGGGGTGGGGGAGGAGGGGTGGGTTCCTAGTAACAGGGTAATGGGGATGTGTGCGTTGATGGCGTCGCATTTGCACGACATGAATAACTATAATGGGGTGTCATTTTTACAGTAGTTACCATAGATTTTGGGGTCAGAAAATTTAAAAATTGGACGATTTTTACCACATTAAGTTTTACAAATGTGCCAATTCATTTGAGGATGATGCTTTACAAGGTAAATACAAGCCCAGAAAGTGGCTAAGTAGGGATCGCCAAAATATATTTGCCTAAGATGAGATGTATGATTGGCCACAGAATAGACCGAAAGAGGGGTTCTGGGAGGCTAGGGGCACATACTCCATGACAAAATTAACCCAACTACATGTCCCCCGGTAATGGCCATGGTCATGCTTCCCCTTCTTAATTAATAACCTATAATATCCTCATAAGACTCCTACCCTTAAACGAAAAGAAGTAATCTCCAGTAATAACCTTTTTAATGTGCGTCGATTTTCATAACAATTTTTTGTTTTTTTGCTGGAGGAAAGACACTGCAGGAACAAGGAAATTCGAAGGTTTTACACCAAGCTTAAAGACTAAACGACTATCGGCTTTTTTGCGAAGATAGCTGTTTTTAGGTTTGACTTCACTATCTCGCTTTATATTCTTTCAGTGGTCTTTCATCATGGCTGCCCTTTTAGCGGTTGGAGCTGGCGTGTGGTTCTATTTTATCACCGAGAACACTAAAGTAATGACATATCCAGCCGTTGTTTTGCTTGGATTTGGGTTTTCCATTATGATCGTAAATTCACTGAACTTTGCAGCAGAACTTATTGGAGACAATACAGTAAGTCAAATTACCGGCAAAGTAAGAACTGAGAAAGTTAGCTGAAATTAATACTGAAGTGTGGTAGGTGAATTTTCTCAACTTCAAAAATTCTTAATTCTTTAAAGGAAAAGGAATAGCCTTTGAAAACAGCCGACATTTCGCGACTCCACTATTGGTTTCCCCGCGAAACGAGCGCAGAAATTCCGTTATGACGAGCCCAGAACTGGCTAGTGCCCCTCATTGGTTGCTTCAGCCAATTAGAAGTACTATACCTAGTTCTGGGTAACAACAAGTCATCAGTATGGAGTTTCTGCTCTCGTGCCTTCGACGAGGAATATTCCTTTCGGGCTTTTATAAGGATTTTTCCTCTAACGTTGTCCATTTCCATTTTTGGTCTTTTTTTTTTTTCTTAGCAGAAGCTTTGTCGATAGAGAAGATAAAATGTTTTATTAAAAGAAGTGACAGGGAGGCCATTGAGTATTTTTACGGGCTCCAAAATTGAAGAGGGACGCCTGTTCGCTCCCCCCGATCTACCGGGACGTTTTACCGCGTGATCCGCAGTAGAAATCAGGTGACAAAACGACTAACTCCAGTCATGGTCATGACTTAACAGAGGGCACTTGATAAAGATTCCGTGATGGAATTGAAAGCTTGTTAATAAGAAGTTTTTCTATCCTGGGAATTGAATCTTCGGCGTTTACTCGATCTAAATATCATGGTGACAGGATTAAGCAACTCTTTCTTCGCTAATAAACCTTTGTCAGGTGTGGCAACAAGACGCATATTGAAAATGATCTTAGGCAGGGGAAAAAATCAACAACAGAGAGCGTTGTCATGGCTACATCTGGATTACGTGTCATTTACCAATGAACCGTTCATCATCATCATCATCATTATTATTATTATTATTATTATTATTGTTATTATCATTATTTGTCACCAAAAGTCTTACTATCTTTTAGCGCTTTGAATCACATAATTGACCCATGACGTCAGAGAGTAACAATTTCAGGATACTATATTAAGTTCCGCTGATACTTTTGTTATCAGTGCTATGTTTAATAAATAAATCTAAAAAAAGGAAAAAGGAAAGAAACTAGTGAAAAAACAAACAAAGAAAAGATGAATTAAAAAATTACTAAAACAAGATGACGTCGTTTCTCATGACAATATATATACTTCTGTCCGATCGGCACCTCGGAATCGGCAAAATATATAATTAAGTGTTAGCCTTCGGACCAGTTTCAAATTAGGTTATTTTTTTATTAAAGATAATGATAGCTATAGGCGTCTGGAATGATGCATTTTATTCAGCTCATTTTAACTATACTCTTCTTATTCTTAGAGCACATGCGGAGTTGTTTTTGCAGTCATGGGCTTGATGTCGAGGGCCGTGGCAGGAACTATGTACCTAGCAATCCAAAAATTCTTTCCTCAAGGAAGGTAGGAATAGGTTTTATCGTATTTAAATCAAATTTAAAATGTTGTATATTTTAAAATGTTAGAGCATTAGAAGTGGATTTCTCGTGTGAACTTCCAACATATGCTCAAAAACGTTCTGCATTTCGGCTTTCTCAGAAGGCTAACTTTAATTGGTAGCTACCTGCAGCTGATGCATTAATTCAAATTATACCGTCAGTAAGATACCTTTACATTTCCTAGAATTTTTTGTCAATATATCCCTCGTAGTTTTGACTGATACAGCAACTCTGGATGACGAAATCGGAGACTTCTTATGTGGCTTAATAATTTCGCTTGACTCACCCGGTTATTCAACGCTATTTCCTTGAGGCTAGCAAGCTCTAGCACATTAACTTTCTGAGAGAACGGTTGATGTACCTAAATGTTATTTATCTATACTATTTATTTAATATCTATTTATTTACTTATTTATACATTTTATTTATTACATAAACACCAATGAAATACCAGGTGAACTTTCGCACGATTTCAAACTTGATATTTCACATGTGTGAAGATAACATGTTATCTTCACATGTGAAAATATCACCTTTGCTATGGCTACATAATAAATCGCGCCTTTCACACCAAAAAACTATTAAAGTGAAATGGCTTCGTATTTCATTGGTGTATATAATAGAAATAGAACATTACATGGCCGCTTGGAGATACGAATACTCTCTTCTCGTGTTGAAAAAATATTTTACTCGTTCGCTGCGCTCACTCGTGAAATATTTTTCAACACTCCAAGAGAAATTTCGTATCTCCGCGCGGCCATGTAATATCCTCTATTTATTTTATTATCGTTTATATATAATTGATACTCTTTCTTGTTTTAATTATTTCATCATTTGATTTGTAGCAACTCTACAGACTGCGAAGAGTGTGGAAATTATGTACGTCACCTCTTTTCATTCGTACCAGGCTCTCTCGCCGTTATCGGTGTGTTGGCTCTTATGTTGTTCCAAGCGCCACAAACAAATTGCAAGAGAAATGGTGAGTGAATGCACTTTTCTTAAAATAAAATAGATGAAAAAACATTTCCTTATGCAATGAAGTTAAGGAATAAAACAAGTTGAATCAACTTTCCTTCAATAATTATGGTGAGCATTTTTTTTTTCCTTTTTTAATGAATGCTTCATTAACAGCTACACTGAGAATGCCGGCCAAACGTTTTTTTTTCTTTCTAAGTTGTGAAAACGTTTTGCAAATAGTTAATACCGTAGAACCACGGTAACTCGAACTCTCTTCGTTTTGCTATCTTTTTCAAGCTAGGGAAACATCACAATCTCTAAGGTTTTACAGCAACACTCAAGTGAACCGGCTCTTTTACAGTACCAGCACTTAGTCAGTGTAGCTTAGCGGCCGCTCACTTGGTAACCAGCCCTGATACTGGGGTGGTGTAAACCATTTTCTATTATTATTTCATGTGTTTCATTTGTGTTTTGTTTGAAATAAATATGAAATAGGAACACGCCGGGTCTCATTTGACCCCATATTCGTAGATATATCTTTTTTTTTTTTCATCCCTGAAATATTTTGTGGTAGCTAGTCTTAATGAGCACTGATTTAACCAAACAAAAAATGATTCGAATGGGCCTTGTTTAACAGTTTAGTCAGCTTTTCTTAAGTAACACGGGTTAAATAATCTTATATTATCTGGTCTAAAAGAACCGGGCTCTAGTTTAAGGGTTTGTGGGTTAATATCACTAACCTATATGATTTATTCTTTTGCAGCTCCTAAAACAGACACTAGCGTGAAATTAGACGGGACTTGGGATACCCGACTTTAACAGCTAATAGCGGCGACCTTAGGCAAGGAAGACGACGACGGCAGTGAAAACGTCGGTAAAAAAAAGAATTTGGTAATGCGTCATTTCAAACTTAACCGCGTCTATTTGGACCCGCTCAGTATGTCAAATGCAGGCGACTTTTCCTAGAGTCGAATTCTTTAGGATTTTATTCAGGTTCAAAAAGAGGAAGGAAACTTCGTCGTCGTATGTCCACGTCTCCATAAAACGTCAAACAAGGAGCGTTTCACGTCGTAGTCGTGCAGTGGACGTCAAAGAAATGTACTAAAAAGCGATATGTACGTGCAGAGCTGTTGTTTTGATCATTAAATCTATTGGTTTTTTTTTTTTTAAGTTGTCGTGTGGTCGTCGTCGTAGTTGCTTATAAGCTCCCTAATTCTTGGTTTTCACATGACGTCACCAAAATTCAAACTAAGAAACTATCGCTTCTTCTGAGTTTCTACTTTCATGTGATACTAGAGCACCTTAAAACCTTTACACAGAAAAATTTTCGGTTCAAAAGGGTTCTTTGTTTTGCGATACAGGACGCTTGAATTTCCAGGCTTTTGCGCGACGCGGCATTTAGCTGGCGGACGGGAAAGCTCTTATGTGGGTTAAAACATTACCGATTTTTGGAGATTTTGCTATCTAAACATTCCTTGTCTTAGAATGAATATTACTTTAATCTTTATGAGTTCCTCAAGCGAAGAATTCACGAATAAGTAGGAAAACTCAAAAACAATTGTTTCTGTTGGTTTCCGGCGGCCATATTTGTGCCCCTGAAAGGGACACAAACATGGCGTCTCCATACAAAGCTTTGTACTATATCCTCACTGTCTATCACTTAACCCTATTCAGACTGGGCTTTTTTGGTCAATCTGTGACTGGGGGGGGGGCTCCTCGGACCCCCCTCTGTATCTCTGGAACCAATAATGCTAGGGTCATGAAATTTACACACAATGATCATCTCCGTACAAAGAAGCCCCACACCCAGTTTTGACTCGCCACGCCCAATGATGACGTCACAGTGACGTCATATTCCGATTTTTCAATGCTTCTTATTATTTTTCCACTCAGATACGTAAAATATCAATAATATTGGTAAAGTCATCTCTTTGTTATCCTTTCTTATGAACTAGTAACGAGGAAACACTTGTACAGCGAGAAAAAGCATTAGGAAGCAATAAAATTTAAAATTTGAAATGGTTGTCCACCATCTTGGATCCGCCATCTTGGATCCGCCATCTTGGATTTCCGTTTTTATGTTAAAATTATAATTTAAAGCAACTTTCAAAGGGGAAAAAGCTCAGAATGTATAAAAGAAGTATCAAACTAATGTTTATTACCCAAACAAATGACTTTGGAAGTGTTATTTGGAAAATAGAGCAGCATATTTGTCAAAGCAAAAAAGTGACAAATTTTACCCCACCCCTCCCCCCCAAATATTCGATGTTGAAACATTTTGATGTAATTCAAAAACTAGTCCCAAGCAAAGACCATTTTAACAACAAAAAGCACTATAAGTGTAAAAACGCGATCTTAAAACAGAAAAATCACCATTTTTTAAATTTTCCAAAACCTATGTGTCAGAAACTGGTTGCCATGGCAACATGATTAATCACATGGACATGGTAATTATATCAAAATGTTCCTTGATAAATTTTAGGAAAAGTCAGAAAATTTGAACGTCATAGCTCTTTCGGTGTAGGAGTTATCACGATTTTGCCGGAGGGGGGGTTCGAAATGCCTCCCCCCCCAGTCTGAATAAGGTTAACACATCGCGAAACTAAGTTATGGGAGAGAGATCCGCGGATTGTTGTGGAAAGAAGTAGACAGCAAGAATAGATCACGAGATGCGAGGAGTTGTCAACCAACATCAGGGGAGGAGGGTGGGGCGAACCTTGATAAGTCGTCTCGGCGGTCGGCGCTGTGACACAGTGAAATCAAAGCCACGTGGTGTATTCTATTTATCAGTGCATTGATGTGTCCCAAAGGACGGCGGAGTATTTTACTGGTCGTTTCACGATGCGTTAATTAATTACTCAGTGAGAATAATAAATTTGACTAAAACGTTTTTCCGAATATCTCGCATATGAACAATTGCATAGATCTGATTCTTGGCAAGGCTTTTTGTATATTTATCTTCTTTCATTTCCCAGATTCTAGACTTTCTGTATTAAACGGTTTCCATTTATATTTCTCAGCTTTCTCACGTGAGTGAAAACCGGGAATATGTTATGATGGACGTCTTTGCCGAAGATGCATATTTATGTATGAAACTCAAGTTGAAGCCCAGAGTTTTTGCACATGATAATACACCGCTACGAGTTTTTTGAACGGCTTAAAAATCTCTGAAATACATTAATATTTAGATTTGGGATTATTTTGGTCTAAAAAATTGGACGTAAAGTTTAGCCGTGTCTTTATCAGATATGAAGACACACATTAAACATTAATTTCTTTTGTATTTTCTTTCTGAATTACTGATGAACTTTTAAAGACATATGATGAAATTACAAAGCCTTAGAGGGAGAGGTTTCTGTGAGTCTGGCCGCAAACAATTTAAATTTAACCTCTCTGTGCCTCCTCGGAGCCGTTAACAACTGATTTTGAGGCAAAACTGTTGCTTACTTTTTCCTGAGGCACATCTTATTTTAAAAAAACTCAATGGGATTAATTACTAATTACCCCTTGTTGTGATATGCACTGCGAGGGTATCAACTCAGTTTCATTGTACTATAAGTTGGACCGTACCCTACTATACAACGACCGCTGATTAAAGTGTTTTAATTTAAGCTCTCGAATTTCCTTATCGTTTAACGTCATTTTGCCCTTCATTTAACAGGAAAGTCATCTGATTGTGTAGCCCCACCCCCTCTCAACTTTCAAAACCCTGTTGTGCCGTCCCTGTACTTCATCTCTAAAAAGCGCGACCTATACCAAAATGAGTAAAACAGTTTTTGCAAAACCCGCACACGCAAAAGTTTGATGTCGTTTTTTGAAGAAATATACTAATTATAATGATGATAATGATAACGATAATAATAATAAATTAAGTTTGCGAATTTTCCTGAATACGGAATAGAATGTATGAGGGTCTCAATGGGGTTAACCGATAGGCGTAAAACGACCAAAAATTTAGTCGATAGCCGTAAAAATTGACAAATTTTAACCGTTAGTCGTAAATAGGGTCAAAAAGAGTTAACCCTAAAAGAAATTGTTCTCCAGAGTTGTTAATTTTAAGGAAGGTTCTAAACCCACTTATGGTTGCGTTATTTATTTCTCGGCTACTTTGACTCCGTACGCACGTTAGGCCAAGCGCTTTTTAGTTGTGACCTAGACCTAGACTCCAATTCCGCCACTCTCTGGGGGAACTAATTTTTTCCATAGCGAAACTCTGGCTTCTTGCTGGGGATTAAAATTTGCGATTTTCAGGAGGTCGTGCCTTCGAAATACCAGTGAAACTAAGAGATGTCACTGTTTGTAAAACACGTTGCCGATAAACAACAATCCCTGCAACAATTCCCTTTTTTTCTA